AATCGATTTTTCCTAGAGTAAAAATAAAACTCTGTAAGTTATAATTATATAAAAGTATTCTGTTATATTATACAAAATAAAGTTTAAAATGGAAATGAAATCATAATCATTAATTTTTAATGCGTATATTTTAATTTTTTCATTTAAAATTACTTGAGCATCTTTCACCTGTTGATATGAAATCCTCATTCTGAACAGAGATTAGTAAATTATTTCGTGACCCTGTTGCAAAAGCACCGTATATTGGGCACTTGTGCAGTGGTTTCCATGTGTACAGTGTATGTACAGTGGTAATCAAAATTACTTAAGACTTGTAGATTATTACTTGTTACAAAACTTTTTATTCAACACATTTTCCTTGTAATTTATAACTTGAAAATCTTGTAACAACCACAAGCATTTTATGCAACAGGACATAGACCTTTAGCTTTTCTATATTTCTTTCTCGTTCTTCTAAATTCCGATGAAGATTTTTTAACAGAGTTTATTATATTAAAAGTACAATAAATTCCTTTAAAAAACGAAAAAATCTTTAATTTATTATCGACTCAATAAAATACAACTCACTTTTCAATAATTTTTTTTATCAAATCTGACATAGCGAGTTGAACTATTATGGCTAAGCATAATATAAATCACTAGAATAATTAATAGCTGGTGATTATTCGAAAATATTTTAATCAAAAAAATTATATTTTGTTTAATGTTTCACATGTATAAAAATTAAACAATATATACGATATATTATTTATAAATGTGATCTACGCTTATTAATTATATCAAAATAGCAAAAACAAATGAAAGTTTACGAAAAGTTCTCTAATTTCTATAGGGGGTGGGGTCATTTCATGTCCCTAAGAAATGTGGAATATGTGAGATTAACGATTTTCTTCTTTTTGTACTTTTAATTTTTTGTCAGAAAGTTGGTCAAGAGAACGGAATGGAAATATATATATATATTATTTTTTAAGGATAAATATCGGAAAAATGCTCTGGATTGGTTCCAAGATGTTAGAAAAAGGAATGAAAATTCTTTTTTATCTTCAAGTGACATTATTTTTCAATTTCTCTGAAAAACAGAATGGAGAGACTCAGCACCGTCGAGATCTTGTAGCCCTTATGTTTTTTTTTTTTTTTTTTTTTTTAACAAATGAAATAATTGGAATATTTCTTTATTAAAACAGTCTTAAAGGTTCTATTTATTGTTAGTAAAAATATTATTAATTTTATAGGGATAGGAACCATTATAGATTCCTAAGTTTGTTCCGTTGCCCGGAGGAAATTTCCAGCTCTCCATTTCTGTCGACAGACTGGGCCCTTAGTCTCGAGTTTTTCGAGTTGTACTCGAATTGACGTCATCGAACTCACTCGTGTTACTGTGACTCACATAATCGGTAGTCTCGAGTTAGACCCATCGAGCGAGCTCGAAAGGCGAGCGGAAGTAGGTCATATTCACTTGTTTACGTGTATCGTTAAGCATGATGGGATTATTTACAATGCATCTGGGTTTGCGACTATACTGATTCGACCAATCAACTTTACTATAACAAGTTGTAAACAAATCAACGTGAATTAGTTTACACGTGTTATAGTTAAAAGTTTTGTCCTATAGCAAAATGGAAACCTCCAATATTTTATTTTAAAAAAGAAACGAAGAACAAAAAGAAGTATTAGTAACATATATAGAAAATAATAAGAAAACGAACAATATAAAATTCGACAACGAATTTACAAGAAAAAGACAATTTGATTTGTGGAGAGAATTAGTTCTAATTATGTATTGGAGCTAAAAAATCCGCCGTGTAATGGAAAAAGTATTTTAATTTAATCCTTTTTTCATATAGTTTTCTTCCTTGATCTCGTATTAAATTGTTTTGTTTATTAAGATTATTTATTAATCAGAACTTAACACTAATGATTAATAAATAATCTTAATATAGTGTCTATGCTCTTAATAATTTACACATATAATTTACTATCATTATAATTCTTTTTGTCGATGAATAAGATACTTTTTATTTTTGGAAAAATTTGCTATATAATTTTATCAATTATAAATTAAAATTTTTTATTAGTGATGACTTGACATAAAAAGAAATGGCATCTACTCGTGTTCGAAAAATTCGTTGACTTCTTAAACAACTCTTTCGACTCTTTCTAACGCTTCGATTGCCATCAGAATAGCGTATTTGTCAGCCATTTTCACTTTCGTGTAGCGATCTCACATGCTCGACTCAACGTGAGTAGCAACTCGCATGGTGAGATGGGAAAGCACGTGAGTTATAACTGGAGACTACCGATTTGACGTCAGAGTGTGAGATGGTACCACGTGACACCTTCAACACGTTGGGAGTTGTAACACGAAAAACTCGAGACTAAGGGCCCAGGGCCCTTAGTCTCGAGTCTGGAGAGACTTAAATGTTTGTTCGTTTGTTGTTGTTTGTTTGTTAAGTTATGGAAACAAACACTTGGGCGATCTGCCTAGGGAGATGCCTTCCGGGAGGTCTTTTTAAGGGAAACTGGCCCCTATTTAGGCGTTACAGACATGGAGAAAACCCGGAAAACTCCACATGGTTATCCCGTCCGAGCTAGGCGCGAACCCACGACCGAACTCAAAATGTAAATTATTAATACAGATAAAAATCTCTAGAAGCGTCTGTACTGCCGAATAAAGAAGAAAATACAGCTTTTTTTCCTTTCTTTTTTTGCATTATTTGAGTGTTTATATTTCGCCAACCCTTTTATAGAAAATCCTGAAATTTTGCACACTACCTAATAAAACAATTATCTTTCGAACGAGATATTTGGAGGGCGGAGAAATCGACTCCCGAAAATTGGCAACTCTAAGGGTGCGACTATGCAGACGCGAATTTAGAGCGAGCGAGAGGTTGCGAGCGATTTAGTTTTCGCAAAGGAAAACCATGCACAAACGAGAAGCGAGAAATAACGCTGGCGAGAGCGAATTTCTGATTCTCGCACATATCTGACAGGTTTTGATATTTATCGCGTCTCGCCTCTTCTCGCCACATATTCTCGCTCGCTCGCGTCTGCATAGTCGCACCCTAATTCCTGTTTATATAGTCAGTGACTATATTTCACTTAGCGCGGAGTCGCTGGCGCGACTCTCAATTAAAGCTTGCGCTATTTGAATTCTTCATAAAATGACATGGGCATATTCGATTTTTATATTTTGCACTAATTCTAACAATGCTGTCTCGAAGTTAGCACAGCTTTCAGCATCGGAATATATTGTCTACTGTTTAGTTTATGCATGACTTCACTCAGATACGTCATTACGCACTCGGACAAACCGGAGAGCTTGTTACATAGCTCTTCACTTCAATTAGAGGTTCCTTAATCCGGCATATGAATATAAAAAGCAAAGTAACTTTTAATCTAGAGTTACCAGTTGGTAATCTCGGATTACGAAACTCTCGATTTAAAACGTTGCTGATGAATACGGCCGTTAGTACCCATGTGGATCTTTCATACGGCAACTAACTTGTAACAGGACCTTTTCTCATAGCCAAGTCCATAATGGCGGCGGCCGAGTGATAAAGGAAGAGACTCAACTTATCCGGGACAGCTACCCACGAAAAATTCCTGGGGAGTTATTCGCCAGGATTCAATGCCTGGTCCTCCAGAGCGATAGGCTGGCGCCTTAACCGTCTCGTCCATCAGGCGTCTTACGAGACTGTTTCTAACAGTTAAAGTTTTGAGATAAACATCTTAATTTCCATTACGATTACACGGAGAACTTAATACTTGTACTGTACTGTTCGTTACAATGAAAACCTTCACAATTTAATATCGAAGTTATTATCATTATTCATGGGCATCCGCAAAAAAAAACTTTTCAGGGGCAAACCTTGCTAACAAATAATTAAATTTTTATTTATGTTTGGAGATTTTTTAAAGACAGACAAAGCGTTCCTTTGTCGGTTTGGTTTGTTTGAGTTATTGCAACGCAACACTTGGGCGATCTGCCTGGTGGCAGGGGATATCTTCCGGGAGGTCTTTTAAGAAAAACTGGCCTCTATTTAGGCGTGGAGAAAAACCATGAAAATTCCACGTGGTCAGCCCGTCCGAGCGAAGCGCGAACTTACGACCAAACTCCCAGTGTTCAGGGTACGAAGACCGCTTGGCCACTGGTGGGCCTAAGTTCCATTGTCGAGGATGCAAGTATGAATCTCAATCACCTTACGATTATAATATGTGGAAGATTTTACTCAATCCCGGAGAAGCTGATCAATGGCGGATGCTTATGCCATTGAATGAATCAATGGCGGATGCTTATGCCACTTTGTTGTTATTGCCATTGTTTTTACCGTTATTTGTTTTTTTTCGTTAACATTACTTCCGAAAATTAGTAACTTAAAATTTGAACACTTCGATTAACATATAAAATATATTGTAAATTCTATTTTATTTTAAGCAAAACGGAATAAAAACTAAAATATATTTTAATCTTCTTGCCGCATCTGTAATAACGAATAAGTTTATGATACACAGATATATTTAATTAATTTATTTTTTTTCATTTTGTTAATTTAATTTATTGATAACATTTGAAATTATTAAGACACCAAAAAGAAATTTTCAATTTAGTAAATGGTGTCCGAATATTAATAATTTACTCAAAAAGGTGAAATATTTTCATGTATTCATTTTAATATTGAATTCTCTTTTATTTATTCATTAGTGCGTGACGTTTCATTTATAAAACGATGTCATTGATCAAAGAAAACTATGTATTATCTTTTATAGACAAAAATAAGCATTTTCCTTCATTTATAAATAATCCCTATTATTCTCTAGGCTATATACGCATTATCTGTATTAAACATTAACTTGTAGTTGAAACGAAACATTATATTAGGTAGCATATTTTAATTATATCATATTATGCTGTAAACAATTGTTATCAATTATTCTGAAATGTGAAAAATAATCCAGATTTATAATTAAGAATAATTCAGCCTAGACATCAGAATTGACGTTGTGGAAAATTGTGATTTAGCCTATTTATTTTAACTTTCTCCACCCTGCGGACACTAAGAAGTCAACTGGGTAGTGAGTAGTAACGAACAAGGCCTTCAGGCCCGACATACCAGGGAATTTCAACATATCCCAGGAATTTTTCATGGGTTCCATGAAAACTTCTGGTCTCCCAGATTGGTAGGCTGACGTCTGAACTATCTGAACTATAAAGAGAAAAATAAATTAAAATATAGATTATAAATATTTAATTATATTATTGTAAATGTAATAAATGTTAAATAAAACAAACTTTAATTCATTTCTACATGTGTATTCGTTAATTATTAAAACAAAGTGATGATTTTAATTAACATTATATTAATAAATGAATTCAACAGATGAGAAACTTAAAAATATTTTTGTAAAATAAATTGTAAATTTTTAGCAAGTGAACAGACTGTAATTTTATGTTGTATCTAATTTTAAACTTAGTTATTTTCTATTTTTTAAGCTAGTTTTATACTTTGTAACAATTTCTTTTATTGTTTCTGGTATAAAATACGAGTTTTATTTATTCGAAAAGTTTAGTTATTCTGGGTTAATTTGAAAAGCAGAATAAAACTTGTTAAATATATAATAATTGAGGTCAGTTTTGACAAGTCGGAAGTTAAGAAATTCCCGTTTCTGAAACTAAATTTATTAATATTGTTATCCGATTTCGAAAAATATTGCAACAATTGGTAAATTTTAAATATAATTTATTATTATTTTTACTATTCCTCTAGACGCAATTAAGTCTAATAAAATACAATTAAAATAGTAATTTTAAGTTAGTATTTCTTTATAAATAGTAATTGATATTAATTATTAATAATACCATTTTTGTGTGACCACTAACGTATTTTATTTTGAAATATAATAAAATTTTTACGTTACTTTTGACGCAGTTTAGCTATTAATTTTTGATCTGCCAATTGATTTATAATTCATAATACACAAGCAGACGTGAAAATCCATAGGGAACAAAGAGGCGGAGAGCTGATCTTTCCTAGATTCCATAAGAAGAAAAAATATTAAACCACGAGCCATGTCCTAAAATTTCCCCATATTTCTTGTAAATACAGTCAATAATATAATCGGATGTTATGAAATAAATATGGTAATTGTGCTAAAGTGAATATGCTACAAAAACTCATTTTATAATGAAATATTTCCGATTTTATACTGTAAACGATCGTATTTGCAGCTACTTTAAAACAACATTGATAACAAATATAACATTCATTTTAACGCAAATACAGTACATTTATAAACGTTGGCATATACACAATATTTATAAATAATATATAAGCTTACATAAAGAATTTATGCATTATTTATAAATAACTTACATTATTCACATTGAAAGATCACAATTACTTTGGTTTGGACAAGTAGAATGCCACAGGAGAGACTTGTTAAGAGTTTTATTTTCCTATCCCAGTGGAAGGCCAAGAATCAGATAGATGGATTATATCCGGGAACTTCTTTGGGTGCGTCTTGGGATTTCAACAGAAGAGTTAAATTCAGTTGCTGCAGGCCAAAGTAATTGGAAGACTACTGAGACTGCTCCCTCCAGGATCCTCAGGATAGAAGACATTAAAAAAGAACGAACGACATATTTCATATAGAAACTTTATATAAATAAAATTTATGTACAGTATGTGCGCATATATACTTATTTAAAATGTTTAAATTGATTATTTTAACTTTCTAGATTAATCTTGAATAAGGCAATCTATAGCCTAATAGTTCTTTACAGTAACATTTTTAAAGAACTAATACGTAAAAATTCTTTTACAGTTCCTAAAAAACTATTCGCTGGATTGATTTCAATATGGATATCTACATATGATAAGAAGAATTTTCTAGACGTTTAAAAAATATAGTCTATATATTTTTTTAAATTAATAGTAAAATTCTTTGAAGATAAATGCAGTCATTCATTATTTCGATACACATCTAAAATTCCCATTTCGTTCAAATCATTTTTATTCTTAAAAATAGAATCTCACTTTAGATTACAATTAAAGGAAATTACTAAATATACTTTCAGAAACTAGATATTGTATTTCCAATAATAAAAATAATATCAATAATAATAATAATAATAATATATCACATATATAACTACAATAGAACTTCCGACTATCCGGTTAATGTGGACCAATGACACCTCCGAATCCAAAAACTCGGATAATACGGATTGCCGTAGCCATTTTGGTTTAAAAATTATAAATAAGTTATAAAATAAATTTAGGATAAACGGTATAGTTATTGACCACTTAAGGAAATTTTTATTTTAAAAATTCTATGACATAACAGAAAGATTAAATCGAGAAATATTAGCCTATACTTATTGATTAATTTTCTTAATGGCCTTTCTACTGACAACATCTAGAAATTACAAACTCCAATCGTCTAATCCAAACTGTGAGAACTTTTACGAAAATGCAAAATTGTATAGTTATTGACCACTCACAACGACAAAAAAATCTGAGGGAGTTTTTGCTATTTAGTGACAGCAGAAAGTTTTATTAATATAGTATAGTACTATGCATTTCTTATTAAATTCGAAATGGCAAATTACTGACCGATGGCCAACAAGTGTACGTTTACATTATATACTATCACTTTTAAGCCTTTCTTTTTAATATATCAGTGACTTTAATCATAACAACAATATTGTTTACGTCATTTATTACACACCAATACGTACAGAACAAGTTTTAAGAATAAAAATGTGAATTATTGTAGTTACATTTTAATATGAATGATTTGTTTTACATTGAAGTTATATGATAAAAAGATAACAGAAACAAATCATTTTGTAGTACAAATTATCGTTTTAAACTTTCTTTTAAAAGTCCTTTATAGTTAAGAAAAGTAGTGTAGGCTACTCACTTACAGGAACCTTTGATAATTAGGGTTTTACAGTAATAAATATGTGAGATTTTAATAATATTTATTGCTTTATCAAAGTTTTTTCCTGCTCTTATTCTAATAATAAATGATTAAATAATTATCTCAAAATTAACTGTTTAAATCAATTTTCAAAACTTTAACACGTGAACAAAGTTTATTATTACCATATTATTATTATTATTTTACTTGAACGTTTTCGCGATTATGCGTAAAAATGAGCAATATTTACTCCATGTTTCTTTTTTAAAAAGTGCATTTTAATAAAATTTCCAATTTCATAATTTCTAGATGAAAAAAAGTGTAGCGAAAAAATATTAAATTTTTGTTATTAAAACGTGCATTAAGATCGAAGGACGAACTTTAAATCGATCCGGCTACTCAGTTATCGATTGATGACGGCGTTTTACAAAATTAATATTATATAATATATAGAAGAAAAGACATATCATTATTTATTTTAAAAATATTCAGACTTTTTCACTAAAATAATGCAAGAATTTCTATGGCGGTTCTCTATCATGACAGAAATACCACATCTAATCAGAATAAAAAGATTTAAATAAGTCACAGTTCTGTATAGATCTAATCTCACTGGAAGAAAAAAAGTTAATATATAACAAAGAATGAATTACTATGTTCATGCTCCACTAGAAACAAATACACACACCTAAATCTCTTCTTCGAATATTGGATTAAAAGAAGTTCGATACAATTGGTTAAAAAGTACAGTTATTTAGATCTTCGTCAGAGATATGGAAAAAAGGAAAAAGACTGTAGTCTTGCCCCTGTTTTTAATGGAAAATGAAAAAGGAAAATCGTTTTTAAGTAATTGTTTTTTTTTCTGTAGATATTGAGGCGATTTAATATGTCCTCTTGATAGAGGCAGTTAAAGTTGCTGAACCATTATACATTGTTGAAATTTAATCTATATAAACTGAAAATTAAGATTTATCTGCTAAGAAAATTTGCTAATATGTTTTCTCTCGATTATATGAGTGACTAGTTTTTTTAAACAGCAATTAACTTACTATTGATCTTTTTTCTGAAGATGATAAATATGACTTTGCAAGTTCCTTTAAAAAATTGAATATCTTGTCCTCAAGCACGGATCAACTTTTCATTAGTTTTCAGAATCATACAAGTGGAACTAAAGGAACTTCCCTACAATAGGAGATTCGTTTTGTGACATGCTTATTATTGTACAGTAGTTTTTTAGGCCTAAATAATACAAAAATATGAATACTTGTTCTTCATTCCTTCATTCAAGCGAAATATATTTTCAAACGACAGCATCGATTCCTTTTAAAATGCTATTCTATGCTCTAATAATGCAAATTCAATATAAGTCATCTGGTGAGTAGAAATTAAGAAGACATTTTAAAAGCAACAACAATATATGCAAGTTGAACAATATTTCAAAGCTTCAGTTCTGCATCATATATTTTATGTGAAGAATGTTTGACCTAGTCTCGAAAAACATTTAGCCCATTACACAATATAAGAAACAAGCTATTTTATTTTTCATGCTAATATAGCTAAACTTCGCTTCTCCGCAGAGTCACGGGAGATTTAAAAACCACTGATAATTACACCTACTGTATCAAATATCTTCTCTCAGTTCTAATTTTGGCATCATAGATCATTGAATCATCTTCTAAAGATAATTGAAAAAGTCTTCTTTCGAAACTTGAATCTTCACCTGTAAACAGGACTTACTTTATAATTGGGGTGGCGAGGCAATTACTTCAGCTATCGAATTAAAAGACAGTATAATCTAAGATAATTTCTAAATAAAACTAAAATTTGAATTTTTTTTTATTGATAAGTATTAACAATTAAAGGCATTTTAAAATATTAATATAAAAATAAATGCAGTGTTTTCTTGAAAATGTAAGTATAAAGACTACATTCTCAGGGCTTGCTTCAAGCGCTTGTTCGCAGCTTGTCTGTTTGCAAGCCATTTATTCTGACAGAGATCATTCAGTTGTTTGAAAAGATTTCGACTTCATCTTGTAGCTATCTAGTAGTCTAAGAAATAAAACAATATAATCTGAACATATCATTCAAAACCAAACAATAAAAAAAAAAACTCTTGACTGTTCAAATAAAATAATTTGCCAATCATCTCCGAGAAGCTTTGATTAAACAAAGTCTAATATTCATGAAGATTTGATTTATTAGTACCTGAAAATAGTTAATATTTAGATTAATCAAACTTCGAACTTACATTTGATGCATCAAATAGAAATCTGAGTCCTTGTGAGAAATGCTCAAAGGATTTAATTTAAAATGTCATAAAATTCATTTAAATAAAAGAAATATAGAAAAATGCATGACTATTTTTGACTTTATTCCCCCCATAAAATGAAACGAGGGGGAGAGTTGCAGAAGCCGGTCCATTAAACAAAAGAGAGGCTCTCTTCTTTTGCTTTAAAACTCAGATGTTTAGATTCTAGTGCTGTTTAAGAATGGAGAAAACGTGGAATGCTTTGAAAGTATTTCCACTGATTTCTCTTAAAATAGTGAAATAAAATGATTTGAGTAATACTAAAGAGTAAACGTTCAGAGTTTACATTAAAAAAATTATTAAAAAGATATAAAAATAAAACTAAAGATAAAAAATATATTAAAAGTATAAAGTAGTTTTACACGAATAAAATAATAAAAGGGAAAGAAAAAATACCTATAAACGTAAAATTCCTAATGTAGCCGCATACAACAGAGTTCACTTGACTTGAAGAGAACGTTCGTGAGATCACTAATTAAACTGACAGTATCATTACCATTTGGTAAATATCAATTTTTAGATTGTTTAAGATTTATTGTGATCTCTTCATATTTAATAATCTCATCATCAAAGCTTGTCAATAGTCAACGGCAACTAATCTCAAGACTCCGTTTACTCATAACCAGAAAACAAAACAAACTCCAAAAATGCTGTTTCTATTGTCTGTTCTCTGTTCTATGCCCACTACACCAGGGGATAACAGAATTTCCCTCAAACTTTATTATAGTTCGGATAAAACGAACAAAAGTAGGAATTTTTTTTGGTATAATGTTAGCATCTGTCACATCATTTTTTTCACAATCAAGACTTATTATAAAAAGATTTTTATTTCACATCGTTTTTTATTGTATAGAATGATTATAATATCAGTATCAATTCGCACTATTCATTCCAAACTTCGCTTCTATAACTGTCAAAATTGTCTACTTTTATATTTGTATCTTTAAACTGTTTGTTTAAACATAAAGACTTTCTAATATGTTCAAGAAAGAACTTTAAAATACCGTTTAATTTCTGCCTCCTATTAAAAATAACCATCTGAATAATGTCTATCGTTTTAATTCAAATTCACAATATCAGCAATTAAACGTTAGACTATAACAATATCAATTAATTACAATACGCTTTCTTATTGGTCGAAGTGCAATGGACTCGCACAACAAAAACAGAAGAGCTGAAATACAGTATTTTCTGTTCTAGATTGCTGTCCGGATTCTGATAAATAAAAATTTCTATATAGCAAATGATGAAACTTTTCTGACATTACATTATGTGTGCGGAGAAAGATGGACTATTGCAGGGGTGGCCAACCTGCGGCTCGCGAGCCACATGCGGCTCTTTGAAGGATTATTTGTGGCTCTAGATAAATGTACCCGAGTTCCCTTTTCATTTTTGTGTTATTATATTTTTAAAAAATATTATCGTTCCGTATGTGTTTCAAAATGTCTTTTAAATTACTAACAACAAATATGAAAGACTAAGTGCAACGTTGTAACAAATTTCATTTCCGTCCAAGTTAAGAATTATATGACTCATCGAAAACTGCGTGAACGAACGTAAACAGTGGCGTAATCGTCCGTTATCGACCGACTCCAGACCGATTTTGAATTTCTAAACTGTCATTGCAACGGACAGTTGAGATTGTGCTCTGGAGGAAACAATTTGTATCACTCTTGCTATGGATATAATTTGTAATCTGGAATTTTTGCATACCTTTTTAATACGTATTTAATTGCGGCTCGCGAAAAATTTCAAATTTTGAAAAATGGCTCGGACTATCAAGGAGCTTGGCCACCCTGGGACTATTGTATAATTTTCTGCTAGATTAAATCTTATATTGAATCTTACGAAAATCTGTTTTTCGTTACACTTGATAGATTTAACGAATTTGATTAAAAAACGGATATATTCGATGAATTAAAGAATGAGATTGATAAATTAACTGATTCATTATCCAGATCAGCTAGATAAATGATTTGATTAATCCGATAAAACCCATATTCGATTTTCCTTCCAAAACATGCTTTTGGAACCATTAAATGTGATGAATTCAAACTAAGATTGATCAATGAGAGATTGATGATTTCATTGAAGTTAAAGATATTAACGTATCAATTAATCAGTATTATGACTGTTCTCTCTAATCATGCAATAACGGATCCATTCATCTGATTAGATGGAACGTCCTGTCACTGATTTATCTAAATTCATCCATTAGAAGAGATAAGATTATTTCAGAAATCATTTCATTGGCTATTTTTGTTTCAGTATTGAAGGGTTTTCTTATCGATACAGTAGTGTACCTAGGAATTAAGTTTGGTAAAGGCTATCATTCCTATCAAGTAAATTACAGTAATGCAAATAAAATACGGTATATATTTGCACTGCTGCAATTAAATTTTTATTTAAATTATTTTCTTTTAGGGACTGTACTCCTTAGTTCTCTTTGGCTAAACAATATCTTAATATATTCTAGAATAATGGTTTCATGATATTTTTCAGACTAATATAGAATAAGAAATCATTTCTATGGTAATGTTATATATAAATCACAATGTACAGTACAGTACATCATACTTTTCCTGACAATAGAGTCATGCCGGTCATCTATATAACTCCTTTCTGCAGATAATTTTTGAATTGAAATAACGTGACTTCCGGCCTCAGACCAAAAGTTCGTATATATAGTTAATAGGACCTTCTGCTCCAAAGGTCTCGTCTTTCATCTATCTAACTTCGTTCTACATCACTGTCTGATATAACTTTTACTTCGAGTTTCTAAAAGCAAAACATTCTTGATTAGAATTAATCATTCATTAACATACACAATACAGGTATTCAACAGAATATTTGAAGAATAATTACTTGCAAATACATAGACATAATCTAATATATTTACAGTAATAAATAATAAGTATTCATAAATATAAAATAAATCTAATTACTGTTTATATCGTCAATGCTCGATTAATTAAGAAGTAATATAATATACAAATTATTTATTTATAATTTTTCAATTTTCATTTCAGCTCTATAAATATTAATATCATTTTAACATTGGCGTTGGCGTCTCTAAGGAGGCTACAGTTATAGCCTACAAAATAAAACAATAACTTTAATATAAAATTTAAAATTTAACTTTCTTCTTTATCAATTTTAATTTTAAGGAATACTAATACAAATTTGTTTTGAAGTTAGCTACGTAAGTTTTTATTTTTTTATTTTAACTTTAATAAAATATAAGAATATACATCACTATTGTTATTTGTTAGTCTCTACCAAAATTGATTCCTAGCTACTTCACCGCATTTTAAATAAGTTATACAATACATTTACAATGTTTCTTTATTTCTTTTTTTAGTTTATCGAAAAATATTTTTAAGTTTAAATGAATCTTGTAATGATAATTTAATTATTATTAAAAAATTCAAAGCAGTTTGTGTAAAAAAAACTTCTGTTGTTTCTTGAATATTTTTATGATTAAAATTTATTTATTTTTAGCTACGAATATTTAATCAATATTAAATATAGCGTGCTTCTGTTCAGATATTATTTATTAGCTTATCCGTTAATTAAAAAGTATCAAGCACGTAAACAAGTGAACAAATTGTTTTCTCTGAAGAATTTTTTAAAAATTGTTTACTTAAAAATTTAT